TGCTAGTTCTGTCTTTCAGTTAGTTTTGAATAAATATTAATGTTAAGTTACATAGCAAGCATAAAATCGTCCTGTTCTAGTAGGTTTTGTGCATGGTCAGAAATGCTGTTATACTGTCACTGCGTGTTAACAAGGTGGTTTAAATATACACTGGCTTGTATGAAGAACACTTTTGCAGAGACACATTTCATTATTTTTGTAAATGTCCTGATCCAGCCTCGAGGCAATCACGGGGCTGTTTTAATAACCCAATTAAGGTGCAGCTGGGTTAGAATAGAATGAGCAATGCAGCTTTAAAGTCTAAAGTGCTTTGGGAATTCTTCTTGAAGGCAGTAAGAAGTTCAAGTTATGAACTTGGCTAAGCCAAGTTCAAAATATAAACAAAATTAATACTTTACTATAGCTCCTGCCATTTTATGGTATCATTTTCTCTCTTGACACTAGCGTTTCAGTGTGCGTATTGTGGCCTGCATTCTCATGTTGCTGTAGAGACATAAGGGAATAAAATAGAAATAGGCTTTTTGGTGTTATTGATGATATAATTGGAATGATTCTCTATTTAATGCAAATCATAATAGGGCCTGATTTTTAAAATTTTTTTTCCCCATCTGCTAAGTGAAGCTTAGTGACGATCAAACAATTCCATTGTGGATCTACCCGGAAGTACAGTGGTAGTGGTTAGACTTCAAAGCACCTTCAGTGAAAAAGTACATTAAACTACTGGAGTGTTCCTTAAAAACAGAATCTGTATTGACAAATGCCTCTATTAAAATTGAGTTTCCAGCATTGGGCGATGCTACATTGGTCAAGGAGGCTGTTAGGAAATTTAGTAGGGAAATTGAAATCTCATTTAAATAATTAAACTCTGGCTATGTAGCTTAGCATAATTGGCATATGCTACCTGAAGACTTAAATTTGTCCTACCCACATTCTATGCCTTACTTAAAACATGTTTGTTTCTAAGTGATTTTTTTTTTCATTTAAATATTCTCTGTGCTTGTCTGTCTTTGACTTCATATTCCTCTGTAGGGCAAAACGTTAATGCACTGACAACCAGCATACCATTCCAGACAAGACTAACAAAGTACAGAAACTACTTCAGTGTGCTTAACTTGCATAAAATCACTTGTTTTCGTAGCTCATGTACTGACGTAATAGTGCAAGGCAGTTGGAAGGCCAAATCATTAGGGGATAGGAAAGGCAGCTAGTTAAACTTACAGCTATTGCAGCAAGACAGTAGAGATAGATAAACTGGAAGGTGTATCTGCTAAACAAATCTCTCTCTTTTGTTTCTAGGTGTGGTCACTGTAAGAACTTGGCTCCGACTTGGGAGAACCTTGCCAAAGAGCAATTTCCAGGTTTGACTGATGTCAAAATAGCAGAAGTAGACTGCACTGTGGAACGTAACGTCTGCAATAGATTTTCTGTAAGTGTGAAAGATCCGAAATGAGCGGGATAGTACTGTGTACCAAATGTTAGAGGCTCCAGCATGCAGCTGAGCTGGCTGCTGCCTTACGGGTGCCTGGTGACAGTGCAGCTGTGTTCTCCATTAGCCAAAAGAGAGGTCGTTCAGCACAGCACCCGGTCACATCATTTCTTTCCTGGACTGTTGGTTCAGACTCGGTCATTGTCACTATTGGATAAAGCTGAAGAAGCCCCTAATTTAAGAAGCCTTCCTCTGTGAAAGCACCAAAGCGGTCTTGTGGTAGCCAATGCAAAGTTCTGTTCCTAGGAAAAAAAAAAAAAAGAGGTCTCTTTTGGTGCTGGTAGGCAGACAACCAAAGACAGAGCTGGAGCTGCCATTCCCAGCTACTGATGGAAGAGCCTAGAGGAACATGTATTGTCCCATTCACTTAGAAATGTTCAGAAATTGCAGGTTGGCATTAGAAGATCTGCTGTGGTGTTTTGGGGTTTTTTTGGGGGAGGTGGGGTGGGTGGTGATTTTTTTTTTTTATTAAAATGGCATATTGTTACAGAGGGGTTTGCAGGCTGTTCAGAGTCAGTTAAATACAAGTGAAGGATACCAGTGAGTTTGGACATTAGTAACGTTCTTTTTTGGGGGGTGTGTGTGTCTTTTGAAGGTACGTGGTTATCCTACACTTCTGCTTTTCCGAGGTGGAAAGAAAGTCAGTGAACACAACGGAACGAGAGACCTTGAATCGCTGCATAGCTTTGTCTTGCGTCAGGCAAGGGATGAATTGTAATAAAAGTCTGGATGCTCTGTCCCTGGCTGGCTTTGTACAGTAGCTGAGGGATTTCAGTCATTGCTAATTTTCAAATAGTGTATTGGGGGGGGAGGTTGGGGATAGGGTCATATTTTTCATTTTTTGTAGGAAATTGAATGTACTAAACATTGGTATCTTCCCTCTGTGAGTGTGTTTGTTAAAGACATGCCACCCTGTGTGTGAAGGAAAACTGACAAGTAGTTACTGTGCAAATTGAGAATATTTTCAGCATTGGTAGTATTACTGCATTTTTGCGTCCCCACAATGAAGTGTAAATGGTTTCCTTTGAGACTAAAATACATTAAGAAAACCAGCTTAAGGGCACTGGTAGAATATTTTTGTCTTCATGTTAGATTTGGTTAAAAAGTAATCCTTACAAACTGCCCCCCATTACTAGAAAGGTAAAAGCTACAGCTGTGTTGAGTCACTTTTGACTCTACAACTGTACTTAAAACCTGTTTGTCTTAATATAACTGCTAGTTAATAAATGGAAAGTCACAGGCGGCTGAAAACACACACACCTTTGGAAGATACCACGCCACCATGAGCTGGTTGTTCCCTGTTAATCCTCTCAGCATGGGAGGTCTAGCCATAATGAAAGTGATGGTACTGTAATATGTGCCTGAACATGACTGATGCCACAGTATACGTGTGTCAGGTGGATTTTCGTAGGCTGCTTCCGTCCAGCTCCAGAGGAGTAACTATGCTCTACTTCTATAGAGCCAAAGTGAATAGGTGTTGTTATAACTAACTGCTCTGTTAATATTAAATAATCAGTTGGACTTCAGAGCTGATGACATATGTTTCCTGCCCTCGCCTGAATCCAGACTTTGTGCTGACCTGCTCCTTATTCAGCGTACTTAGAGAGCATACAAGTAGTATGATGTTTTAATTTTTTTCCACTCAGCTGTTCTATAGTAGTGTAAAAGAGTTCCCCACTCTTCTTGAGCCTTAACCTTTTTCCAAGGTGTAAGCATTGGTAAGTTTGAATGCTAGGACCACGCACTCTGTGGTGCCTTGGATTATAGTATGGATCTATTCTTTGGTGCATAAGATGTTCCATGTTAGACATAATTGAAAGCCAAAGAATTTATACTGCAGCGACTGTCACGACACAATGACAACAGCAAACCAAGGACTGAATTCTGCTGTCTCGCGTGCACAGAAACTCATGGAATGAGGATGGCTACAGGCGACTTTGACTAATCTGTCAAGATGTTGATTTTTGTCCATCATATGGAATAGGTGGGGTTGTTTTTTTAAAAAAGAAAAAAAAGAAGGCAAACCAGCAATGAACTTTTAAATCAGTGAATTTCTCCTGGTACTTCACTGTCTGTCCAGAACTTTTGATTCTGTTCAACCTAAAAATGTGTAAGGGTGAAAAAGCCACAGTGAAAGCTGTGTTGTACTGGCAGATGTATTAGATCAATGTATATACTTCTGCCTTAAAGGAAGCCTTTATTATCTATCACATTTTTAACAACTTTCTAGTGAAGCACAATCTCATGAGTTTCTTGTATAAAATTGAAGTGGTACAATTGTTTACACTGAGATTTTTCTAAATAAAAACTTTTTTAAAAAGCAGTCTTTCTATAAATGATACAGCACAAGGAATATACAGTGACAAGTGCAATAAATTATAGCTTGTATTTACAAGAAGCCTTTTAAATGCAAGAATTAGAGGTAAGTGCATTTAATACAAGTTTAATATTGATCAAAACAATTTGCTATTAGCTTCTGCTAGACAAACCATGGCTACACTGTGAACGTATCCTTTATACCAGTTAGTTAGTTGTGTGAGTTGAAGGGGAAAGGTTGGCCAAATACTTGCATATGTTGTTGACATCCTGTCTTCCTGTAAATAAATTGTCCAGCTAGAGAATGAATGGCCCCTAAACTTTTACGTCTGAATTACAGCTGTAGAAGCATCCCGACTTCCTTCCTGGGCAAGTGGTAGTAGATGAGGCAGCTCCACATGGGGAGTGGAAGCAAGCGGCATAAGAGCAAGTGTATAAAGTTACATTGCTCAGTCAAATTCTGAACTGGAAAGACCAGCCAGGGTCTGAGTTCACACTAGTGTTTCTATAACACAGGGTGCAGCCACGCTGTCTTACGCTTTGCAGCATCAGACTTACTTAATGCGTGCTTGGAGAATAAAAGAAGTGAAACATTTGCTTTGGCACAATTTAAGATGCTTACTGTCGTGACACATTTCAGGAGGAGGCTAACAGCCTAGGTGTAGTAACTGGTCCTTCTAGAGAAAAGAGCAATTCTATAAGGAATTTTATAAAATTTGTACAAGATGTATGTTCTAAGGCTGAAGTACTAACACCACTTGACTCTAGCTTCCCTGTCCCTCCTCTTGCCTTCCCCCCGCCAAAAAAACTGACTTGTTTTGGGTGTTGGGTGCCCATCTGGTAAAACAGCAGCACGCATCCAAGCAACTGCTAAGGCCAAGCTGCTACGTGAGGTTAAGACCGTCCCAGCCAAAGTAAAGCGTGCGTGGGCATATTGCTGCTTTGCACGCCCTGGCTCTGCAGAGCTGAGCAGCCACCGCGGCCCAGGGGCAGTCTGTAAGAAGTCAGTCCAGCAGTTTGCTCACGCCCCAGCACACAGTCCCCGCACCCCTTCTGCACAAAAGGCACATACGTGGTGTTCTGAAAGGTGGGTCATCGATTATTTCCCCCCCCCAAGGTCAGGTAGTTCATGGAAGTATGGAAGGTAGTATGGGAAGTTCATGGTAGAATCACATAGAGTCCGTGTGAAGACTGTTTGTCAGTGACATCCACAAGCTCTTACTACCATATTCCTGTACTTCTTCAAGATAACATTAGAATTATCATCAAAATAAAGAACCGATATGGCATTTAGTTTGGTAGGTGCGCAGCATGGTTTGGGAACATAATCAGGATTCATCAGATGAACCTGTTGCCAAAAAGAAAACACAAATGGTAACTTGTTTATAAATTCAACTATTGCTTTGGCGTTGAGCTTTCTGGAGACTTACCAGAGTTTGTACAATGGCATGATTGGTTGCGTTCATATGGGCGTTGAGTGGAAATGAGCACTCCCCATCACAGTAGTTGGCTGCGTAGCCCTTTGGAGCGATTATCCAGTCCTTTTTAGGAAACAAATAGAACATGATTCAAATTAAAAAGTTGCCAGCTTGTACAGACAACTGCATGCAATTAAGAGCAGCTGAAAATTTTCCACTAACTTTTTCTGGAGGGTGAAAATGTGTTTTCACTGAAACCGTTAGGGATTTTTTGGTGGGGTTTTTCTGTGAGCCATGACTTTTCCATGGACACACTGATTTTAATGTCCAAAGAATGGCTGCACGTCTATGCACAGCTTAACTGCCACAAACTAAAAAGAGTTTTATTCCTAAAACTTGCTGGGTTGCCTTGTGGGGATTGTGGTTTGGATGCCTTCATGTTCCAACGTTTCCTGCAGGTTAGGCCCTCTGGTTGAACTACCTTTCCTAGGCTGAATCGCAGCCTCAGCTGGTGTCCCCTCCTGGAGAAAATCATGGATGTGCATGCACAGTTCACGCACACAGCTCAACCAGGGAGCTCCAGAATGGAATGGTAATGGAATGGAAAACACTGGTGTGGTGCCTCACAGACACTTCTACCTTGCACACTCTGATACGGGGACGCTAGTCTGCGAAGGCCACCATGGGAAGTTCTAGCTGCGTAACAGCTTCTCCACCTCTGCCAGACTCCATTAGGAGGGACAGGGCAGCCAGCCTGAGCTGCGCGTGCAAGCAGCTGGCTCCGGTGGCAATCTGAGTGCCATGCCATGGAAGAAGGTGACTCTTCACCATAGGGCTAATAAAAAATTACAGCTTCCCCTGCTGCTGACACAAAAGAGCCAAAGGTAAATTAAAAGCATCACCAATTACCAGGAGACATTTCCCCTCCCTCGGTGTCAGGCTCTGCAGGAGGACATACTGGCATGCTTCACATGCACGTAATTCTTAGACGATTTCCCCTTCCCCTGACAACAACTACCTGGGTTAGCTGGAATTTTGCTACAGCAAATTTTTGCTACGGCAAAAGTCTCTGCGCGGCCAGAGACTCTGGCTGCAGCTTTGCTAACCAAGTCTGCTGTTTGATTGCTAATGTGAGGATACCTGGGCATCGCAAAACCACCCCTTCATTTTACTGTACTACCTCACCCATAATTTGTTCCTAATAAACCGAGCTGCTTTTCATACGACAGTCACTCTCCTGCTACAGAAGCCAGTCCACATCATGTAATTAAATTTGTGGTTTAATGCAGCATAAAAGTAAGGGAAGCTCGCTGCTAAAAAAATTGATGGGTGTTCTGAAGGAGACAGCAGTACCCAACAACTGCAAGGGGCTGCTGCCCTGCCTCCATCATCTCCCTACAACAAGTAGGGTCTGGATTCCAATTTCTGCAATGAGCCCGACTGGTTTGTGGCCTTCCTTTGGCAGCACCTTGCCTTTCTGCACAAGTCTGCAGCTAGAAAGGTGAAGGCAGCGCCTTCGAGACCATGAACTTCACAAGTGGAATACGCTTCCTGCCTGGAAGCAGGGCAAGTGAGCGAAGGAGGAGGTGGAAAGTCTGTGCATAAGGAAAAAAGAAAAGTCACAAACCAGTAATGGGGAACGGAGTCAGCACTCAGCCATAGTTGTGGCCAGTGGGATGGAGTTGACATAAGCCACAAAAAAATGCTGCTGTCCGATGAGCTGGGAGAAGACTTTCATGTGTAAGGTATTACAGAAGCAGCAGGGGCAGCCCTGGCATTATACTCTGGTAAAAAAATGAGCTGACAGGAATGGGACCTCCCTCACAAAAGTGCTGAATGAAAGAATAAAAATACTGAAAAAATAAATTAAAAAAGAGAAGATGATGGCATTTTTTGAAACGTGACATTTGATGACACTATGGCCTGGCCCCAAATAACTTGCTCTAAACAACTCTTTGGCCTTATGGCGTTGCAACTAAACCTACTCATCTGTCCACCTACTGCAGCCAGTGCTAATTGTGGGTCAGGAGTGGAGGATTTCAACACAATAGGCAAGGTTAAAATTATGCTGATCACTAGAAAAAACCTGATTTTGTTAAAATTGCTGCTTAACATGAGGTTTTTTTCCTTATCGTTAGAGGTACACAGATACGAGCCCTTGCCCGTACCATGACTCCCATGAGTGACAGAGAATGACTGTATACTTGAATCTCATATAAGTATCAAGCTTCCCCTGGATCTTATCAAATGTCACAACTATCAATATTTATTTGCCCTTCCCTGTGACTGGTTTTAGTGGGGAGGCACAAGGGACATTTTAAAGCATAATGGCAGCCTCGAGTGGAATTACCGTGACACTGTTTAGATAACATTTCATAACAAAATGTCTAGTTTACCCAGAGAGAAACATCACACACCTGCCATCCCAAGTCTTGGAAGCTAACATAAAGCTCATGCTTTCTGCACGCTGTTTTTAAGTCACTGCTGTTGTAATCTGTTAAAAGAAAAAGATGAAAACATGAATTTAGAAACTAAAATAGGCAGAGCATCGCTGGAGGGCACAGCTGGCCAGATGTGTGCACGCTGCAGGATCAGCAGCAAGAAACAGTGAGCTCCCTCAGCAGCCAGACGGAGAAGGGTGTTGAGGGACATCCAAAGCAGGGCTGAGGCTTTTAAGATGCCTATGGGAATGGAGGGACCCAAGGAATAGTGACTTGGTTATAATTCCTTCAGCTGCCTTCAAGAACTTGACAAGCAATGCTTGTAAAACACCTCCAGTAAAAGGACGTCTTAAACATAAATCTACCCCTTCAGCCCAGCACAGACTACATCCCTGCTGGGTGCTCAAACTCACCCCGCTTCCTCGACCGCGCTTCCCAACGTGCGCCGCCCTAGCTGGTAAGCTCAAAATGCACACACGTGCTGAGGGAATGACAAGCCCGGGAAGGTTCATCATCACCTCGTGCCCCGTACCGGTTAGCAGAAGTCCATAACAACTAAGGTGTCCCATAGCCAGCAACGCCGTGTCCCCGTCCCCCTCTGTGCCTTACCCCCAGCCTGCCCCGGACATCACACGTGGCTCCACGCACCACCTCCGCTCGTGGACCTTTACAAGCCATGCTCTGAAAAACAAGTTTCTCCTTCCCATAACGCGCTTCTCTGCAGGTGACACAGGATTTGACACGCTCTCAACATTAACTCGCTCCTTGGTGCCAACGCTGCACGAAGAGCGGGGGCGCAGGCTGCGAAGCCCTGACCGCAGGCCTTCCCCCTCGCTGTGGCACGCCGTACGAGGATGCTTCAGCCACGCGGGAGCTGCTCCCGACGGCCCGACAAAATGCAGCTTTTGACAGCGAGTGGAATTTCCCATTTATATTTGGAAAGAGAGGCGGCTCCGCACGCGAACACCTGGAACCGCAGCGAGCGGAGGAGC